CGGTCCAGCTCTGGAGGCACCAACAGACTGGGGAGTTGGGGCAAGGTGAGGGCTTGTAAACGCCCAAACCAGACAGCAAGGTGTGTTCCTGGGTCCCTTGCCCCCGCCGCCCCACCTCACTGGGCCAGACATGCCTTCAAGGCCATGACAGCCCAGCACCACCTATAGCAGCCTCCATGAACCCGCTCCATGTGCATGGAGCCACTGGCAGGGGAGGCCAAGAGCCCACAGACCCTGGGAGGGACCTGAGGCCCAGTCTGCAGGGCCTGGCCCCCCAAGCCCCTGTCCCACCCCAACCACTGCCATGCTGGACACTCCCTGTGCCCTACCTCTGGCCGACAGCTTCTTGGTGTTGATGATCTTGGCTGCATACTCATGGCCGGTGCAGAGCTTGACACAGCGTCGGACCACAGAGAAAGCCCCCCTGGGGAGGAAAGTGGAAGAGCAAGAGACAGAGACAGACAGGGAGAAAGAGAGAAGGCCAATTAATCTCCCCATAAACACTCAGCATCCAGCCACCGGCCAGGCCTTGGGCCCACAGCCAGTGATTCGGAGATCTGCGAGAGAAAGGGGATGCCCCCCCCAAACCACTCTCAGGCCCCACTTCCCGACAGCTGGCAGAGCCCTGCAGACAAACGCACGCCCTGCGGGGGCTGTGGAGAGGACAAGGCTCAGCCGCGCCCTTGGGAGGGAAGCCAGTGGGCTCGTTCAGCTCCAGTGTGACCCCTGGGCCCCTGAGTCCTTGTGGGTCAGCTGGACAAAGGATCCACCTAACAACCTTTCAGCACACACCCTCAGGTGCTTTCTACCAAGTCCATGAGACCCTAGTGAACACCCCCCACCCATGCCGAGGGAAATAAAACCACACTGTCCAGGAGGCCCAGCTCCAGAGGATGGATTTATGGGGAATTAGTACGGTCGGACATGGGGACGGGGACTCATTAAAGGTTTTGGAGGGAGAAAGAAGCACCATATCATTAAACCACAAAGCTGGAGGAGAGGGTCCCCCAAGATTCTCCACTGTCCCACCATTACAGCAGAGGCCATGGAGGCCTGGATGGGGGCCAAAGGGACATTCGTTCACACGTGACAGCCTGAAGATGTCAGTGCTTCTGAGAGATCGGGGGCGGTGGGGAGCGGGGGATGGCAGAGGATGCAAACCATGATCTGGAGCCTAAGAGACAAGGAAGAATTTGAGTCTGGGAATGTGGGTCATAGTTTCTGAGGCCATCAGAGAGGCCCTGAACACTGCCCACAAACACCGACGCACAGAGGAGCTCCTGCCGCAGCACCAGAAAGCCCCTAAGAGAGTCCACACCTCTCAGAGACCCAGAGTGGCTGCCACAGAGCAAAGGAACCCAGTGAGGCCAGGGTGGGCCAGGGTGGGTAGGGAAGGAAGCGAGGGAGGGCGCCGCTGCCCATTGGAAGGTGCTCTGGGTACTTGACTTATTACCACCATTGATTTAACTTGATTTAATTTGATTTCAGATCATTTTCTAAGGACATAAAACCCAGCATGTGAGACTTGGGGTGGGGCAGGGCATGTTGCAGGAATGGTCTGCATGCAGGCAGGACACAAGGAGACTCTCAGGCCAGGGATGGGAGAAAGGGGGACAGGAGGAAGCCCAGGATCAGGCTGAGCATGTGCCATGTGAGCCCTGACCATGCGTGACCCTGCTCTGTCTCTGCACCCCCAGAGTGCCCAGCCCTCCATCTGCAGGAACAGGCCCCTCACTCAGAACACAACCTGTGCAGCCTCCTTAGCCAGGATAGCCTGAGAAACCAAGACAGTGTCCAAGCCAAGGGCTCTGCATGACGGAAAAGTAGCATCTTAGATAGTGAACGCTTTTTTATTTTTATTTTTTTGCTAAAGTCCTTTGAGATAAATCTGTAAAAACGTACTATTTACTTGCTTGGAAAAAATAAATAATTACACTAAGTCTATCTGAACATTTTCTTAGTGACTCAGATCATCATGATCAATAATTGTGCTTGGGCAGCCACTGAGCTGCTGAAGCGAACCGTGAGCGGGGACAGTGGCTGTCCCAGGAGCGCCAGGAGAGGGGGGCACAGTAGTCACACCACATCCTCTTGTTCCATTGGATCTTTTCACTGTGTACATCGCTTACATTCTCAAAAAAAATTTTAAGAAAAGAAATCTAAAGAAAGGATTATTGTTTTTAACAGGTGATGTTGGCGTGGGA